GGATCTTCTTTGTAGGCTTAAAGATTGTTTTGATGTCGTGTCTTTTCAATACTCTGCCAATCCTGTCGGTGACACTCGGAATATACGGCAGATATGCGTGGCCAATCGGCATAAATACAACCTGCGCAGGAGAAATCGTCAGTCTACGTCCAACATCGGAGATGGAAGGACCTCTGAAGAAGCTGGCCACTCGTGCTAGCGAAACGTTAGGAAGTAATTCCAATCGACGACGGCCTTTAAACCCGAATGAAGATAATAGCTTATCAACGGACCGCGAAAAGCCTTAACCAATTTATCACAAATTAATTACTACTTCGCAATTTCGAAAAAATTTGACGTTATCTATAAACTACCCCCAATAATGAAATACCCAAAAGTTCGTTATATTTATTTCGGAATTTCAAAAAAATCCTGTCGCCCCAGATATTGAATTGGATCATTGAAGAGCCACTTTATTTCTGTGGTTATTTTTAAGTTAATTTTCAAAAGATGTGGATAAACCTATCTTTTTTGGTTTTTGAATTTGGAAACGATTAAATTTTTTTCTTTAAACGGGGTTATTAATCCCAAAACCTCGAATTGGGCGCAAATGTCATCCCTGTAAACTTTTATTGAAAGGATAAATAAATATAAAAATGAAAGTGCTTAGTCAAAATAGTTCTAGATTTGTTGGGATGCGCAAAAATGCGCAAGAACAATTGCACGTTATTGAAAATTACAACTATTATCGGATTTTCTGAAAGAAATCAACTCTGTTTTGATTATTTTGGGATGAATTATAGATCTAAAGACAGTCTGAATAATCGGAACCGTGTTTATATCCACTGGCGACGTCATAAAAGCGTTATATGAAATTGTGCGATAAGAATATTTTTTGGGAGGTAGTTTCATATCATCCCGACGATTTTAAGGTGGTTGAGCAATACATCATTTTGAAGCTCTCCTTAGTGGCTCTTCAATAGTCTAATTCAATATCTGCTTTTTTTGAGATTCCGAAATAAATAAAACGAATTTTAGGAATTTCATGATTGGGGGTAATTTTATATCATCCCGACGGTTTTAAGGTGGTTGAGCAATACGTCATTTTGAAGGTCTTCTAAGTGGGTTTCCAATGGTCTAACTGAAAATCTGGGACAACGTCAGATTTTTTTGAGATTCTGAAATAAATAAAACGAATTTTGAGGCATTTCATGATTGGGGGTAGTATTATATCATCCCGACGGTTTTAAGGTGGTTGAGCAATGCATCATTTTGAAGTTCTCTTTAGGGGCTCTTCAATGGTCAAATTCACTATGTGGGACGTCCGATTTTTTTGAGATAATAAATCTCTTTTTTGGGGGTAGTTTTATACCTTCCTGACGGTTTCAAGATGGTTGGCTCTCCTACGTGATTGAATCTTTGAATAGTAATTAAATTAATTTATATTCTGAGGTGATGCGATGGACAAAGGGGTTATTTTCTGTATAGCAACATTGGATACGGTTTTTCGCAGTTCCCTGATAATATTTCCGTGCTTACTTACCCACCATATTCCCAAGAATTTTTTTTATCAAGATAAATAACGAACTGGTTCACTATAACATTTTCAACAACAAAGCTAACTTCAGCAACATGGTATCCGAAAAATACATATTTTTTTACAAAAACTACGCGCTTTAATTATCGCCGAAAATCATCATCGCTTTATCGCCGCTTCGGATTTAAATTGTGGTTTATATATAGAATTAGAATTCGTAAAATGGAGATCTCCCAACTATTCGATTATTGTCGGTTTAAATTAGAGGTTTGCCGCATATGCGTTAGCGGATATTAAATATTGTTGATTAGATATCGACTACGCCGGTCATCAAAGTACACTAATGAAATATCCCAACAATGATATCCGGTAACCATTAATTACTAGTCAAAAATGTCTCCATTTTATAACCGTTTCGGATTCGACAACCGCAAGTTGTGGTAAAATACAGACTAAATACGGGATAGTTGAAAATTTTTTATTTAACATTTTAAGCAAATATTTGAAATTGCATTTCTGGCAATGCTACTCATCGGCCACAAAAATTTCAACGTTTACGGTTGCCGGATGTATCTTAAATTCTAGTATAAATTAAAACTTTTTTTCATAGGTTCGTAATGTTACATGCTGTAGTTATTTAACTTGAAAAACTGGCAGCGCATTCTGCAATGAGCTGGGAAACACATTGCCAGTCTCTAATACTCAGAAAAGGAAGGAAGGAAAATTTTTTTTGGAAATTCACGCGCACACCTCAATTAATATTTAACACAACAATATTAACAAATTTTATAGAATGAGTTCCAAATTTTGAGATATCATCGAATATTTTTTTATGCAGAAATCGCAATCATTAACAAACATTAATTAATCAGAAGAATGAAGAAATCTAATTCAATTGAATTCGTCGACTGTCAAAGGGCATAAAAAAACTAGCATATTAGTTAAAAATTAAAAAAAATTAAATTGTTTATGTGTTTTATAGATAACAAAAAAATGAAGTTTTTCATTTATAATTTATATAGTTTTCTGATTATGTTAAATTGTACTTGTTGTATTATTGTATTGTACTAAATTGTTTGTACTTAAAACATTACAACATTTATAAAATGGTACATTTTACTATTAACAAATATTCTGACATCCGACATCCGCAATTACTTATTCAGCTCAATGATACTCTTAATACTTTAAAGGGTGTTTTAGACCTCTCTACAAACTTTAATGAGCCTGTTTTATTGAGAATAAGGCTACCGACCTTTTAGCCGGACCCCTAATAAGGTAAATTTTATTTTCTGCCATATAGATACTGATGGCAGATAAGCGTAACTGTATTATATCATTTCTTAATTTTTCAACCCGTTTGAGTTTTTCTGGGAGTAATATGATTAATTTGATTATATAAGAAAACTATTTTCACATAATAATAATAATAATTTATCATTTTTATGACATGGTTGTGAAATCTGTGCGTATTGTTCAAAGTCAAAATTGAAATACCGATCAATGCGTTCGAACATATTTACGAAAAAAAAGTTTCTATGATTTACTGAATTTATTCAGTAATTTATTTATTTATGAAGTAGGAGAATTTATCTAGAGGGTCTCCAAATAGTGAGTCAAAGTAATATATTTCGTTTATTATTTGTTTTAGAGGAAAATGTTAATTACAAAAATTATAGACGAGACCAAAACAATTTAAAAATATTTTTAAATATACAGGGTGATACATAAATATGTGGAAAATCAAGATTATTTTTTAAATGGAATACCCTGTACATTATGACATTAATAGATATTATATTTTATACTCAATGACCCAATGTAAGGTTGTTATGGTCTATACTGAGTGTCTTCGGATTTATGGTAATTTTTTCGTCTAAAATGCCCTGTGTTTAATACCCTATCAGACAGCTGCCAACAAATTTATAAAGTGGCACAGTCATTTATCCTATACTTGTTTTGAAGTTAGTTCGAATCGTTTATATAGGGTGAGTCAAAATGAGAAATATTAATTTTCGTGAAAAAATGAAATTGTACTTCCATTTTTAATTTTTTTTTTTAAATAAAGGCTCTTCTTTATTCATTACCTATAATTTTCCATTTTCCGCAAAAGACATTCTATATAATTTAAAGCGGCAGTTTTGTACTTTTGATTTTCCCCACTGCAAAATGAAAAAAAAAAACAAATTAAAAATGGACATATTTTGGACAGTAAAGACCAAAATCTGGCTTCAAGTTGAAGTAAAACAGATTTCACTTGAAAGACAACTTAAATGACCACCATTCGTGTGAGACATTAGTAGGTCAAATTCTCGTCCTCCTGACGTCATATATAACGTTATTTTCGTCTTTTGGTGACTAGTCCATAACGTCATTATGACGACCTTCTATTGCACATTCAAAATTTCGCAAGAACAACCTTACAAAATTGCTCGCTTTCCACCTAATTAGAATATTCTCTAAATTAACGATTAACATTTTTTTCAACGGTTTACCATCAAGAAGGCAGCTATATAATTGCCTGGGGACAAGGAGATTACTCCAGCAATATAGACAATGATGTTCCTTCTAGCAATGTCAGCTATAATTCATGTATTTGCGAATAACGTAATACTCGATAATTCGATGAGATGTCCCTTCGCTTGGTCTGCCGGGATTAATTGACAAATTTGATGTACGACGCATTTCGCGTGGAAATACCCCACGACATACGTCAAACTCAAAGGAGAAAGAGCACAAATCGTTCAAAAAATTGCCTGTGTTTTGACGCCGGCATAGAAATAATACCTAGAGACGAGTGCGGTGAGGGGTGTTTATATGCGAATGGTTGTTATGGTAACCGCGCCAAGTGTGGAGGATAAGGTAACATGTCGAGATTGGTATAGCCCACTGGAAGCAACATTCCTATAGTACATCGAATTTCATATGTGACAATTATTTCGTAATTTGCAAGTGCAAAGGTAAGCAAAACAAAAGTTGGATGTATAAGAACTGTTTTATTTATCAAAGAATATACGGTATAAGCATAGTTTGTTTTGTAACATTTTTACTAATATGACGTTAGTTTTTATTGTTTTATGACCCTTTTCATAACTTGTGGACTTCCATAAATACCAACGAAATTGCCTACACAATAAGCCTATGTACTCCAAACTCACCTATTGTGATCAAAAGGTCTCCATCGAGAATTGACCCTTAACTCGAATATATCGTATATTACGCATGTAGGCCCAAAAGCGATACGGTTATTTAAAGCATGACATTCCGATAAAGTCCTCCTTTTGCATTAAGGGTTCAATTACATTGATGAGGTCGACGGGAAATTCGGTCTTGAGATATTTCCGTTCCGCAAGGGTCACGTCACTCAAAATGACTGATTTGATCAATCTCGACGACGATCGGAGAGGCTCCGGCAATTTGGGAGGCCGCAACAGACCAAAAACATATACCCACAGCTTCGGTTCTAAAAATACATAGACAGACATGCTGGACGGTAGCTGGATAAGTTTTTTATATTAACTAGGCGTTAAATAGTTAAAAAAGTATATTTTCAGTCAAGATATTGTAAATATATAGCGAATAAATGAATAATAAATGATTAGCTTAAATAAATTAGTTGGATTCTGGTTGGGAAAAACAATCTAATATTTACTCTCTCGATTAAAGGATTTTTCTAGTCATACATACACATTGTACACACATATTGTGAATATTTTCATCCGGCTCGCAGGACCGATTATTAAAAAAACACTTCAAAAATAACGGCCGTCAAAAAACAAACAGCACAAAGTCCTCGGCTTTTCCGCCATATGTGGACGCCGTCAAATTTGTTTAGACGTTGAAAAAACATTCACCCCTTCCTTTCAGGCCGAGGGTGCCAATGTAGGACTCTTCGTGTTTAATTCGTTAAAATCGACGTGTTTACCTTTACCGGTTTTAAGCACCAATCTAGAATTTCAGTCAAGAAGAACTCGTATTAAACTCATTCGAATTAGTCCGCATCTTGAAACAATATCAATGGCCAAATTTTCATAAAATATTTTTCGAAAAATTCTAATCAAAGCGGCAGACTTAACCGGAGCTTATCGAAAAATTTCTGCCACTTCTGATCGCCGCCAAATAAATTGAAAGTCACTATAGCCACCGAAATCCTACGCTAATCCAATTTTCCTAAATTATATCCCCGAAATACGTCCGAACAATTTTCCAATCCGGATAGCTCTGCTCCCTCTCAAAAAAAAAACCAAATCGAATATGTCACGTGAAAAGGTTTAATGAATGATTGTCTCAATTCCCGATACGCTCGGGCGCAGTTTTATTAATTCCATTTATTAAACAATCCGGAATCAACGTGACAGACAGTTGGCGACTGTAACGACTGTGTTAAAACGCTGTTAACCGAAATTAAATCCATTAATTTGCGTAACCAGATGTATTAACCCAGGAAAATACGGAAAACCGCGTAAACGCGGCCGTTTATCGCGATTTTTTATGATTTTCATTCACAAATATGCTCTTAAAGAAGCAATGTGAATATCCGGAATGACAAGATAAAATTAAACTTGCACCCGACGAAGAAAGAGCCAGTGACAAATTTCCTTATGCCGCCTCACTAATATTTTCTTTGTAGTTTAAAAATAGGTTTATGTTTTCCGATATAATAACTACGAAAATTGCAATTTTAACGAAAGCAAAACATTTCAACCTAGTAATTAATTAATTAATAAAAACGTGTTTACTCGAAAACATAAATAAATAAACATAAAATAACTTATAATATATTGTATGCACATATATACGCGTACATGTACCATAAAATTCGGAATTAGATTGAATGTGTACGTTGAGATTAAACGGAAAATAAATTTATTATTTGGTGAGGTTATTCGTTTTCTATTTGCTTTACTTTGTACGCGAAAGTTATGTTCCTGTATACCACCCACTAATAAGTTGGTAAACAGGAAGGAAATACGAATTCCAATTAGATTAGTAAATTAAAATAACATTAGTTTCATGGTAAAAATACAGACTACTTTTTAAATTGAGTGCTCCTTTTAATCGCTTACAGGATTCAAATCAACCTTTTAGAACGCCGTCTTTTCTGAAACTCAAAAATTACAGTCGTTTGATATTTATCGTCAAAATTTATCCTTAAACTGAGCTTGAAACTTAAAATCGGTTATAGGTATGCTATGCAGACGTGGGGGGGTTCTCAACTATTTCTACGATTCCAAGCTTAGAAAACGGCAATTTGAGTGTGACGGGGAGACCCTGCCATTTGTTTTAAATTTATTTATTCAAGTATGGAACCTAGGTGTAAGCGTCATGTAAAATATAACATTACAAAAAAATCTCGTGAAACGTTTCGACGAGTTTAAACTAGTATAACAAATGGTTTTCTTATAAATTTGAGCATTTTCCTGATAATTTTTTTATTTTATTGTAAACTCCATCGAGGTCGTTTGGGAAATAGAGAAGTAAAACAACTTACCAATACGTAAACAGCGAACGGCATCACCACGACGGCGACCAGAAGATCCGCCAGTGCCAAACTGACGATGAAATAATTCGTAGCCGTCTGCAAAGTTCTCTCTTTATACACACTCAAAATAACCAGAACGTTGCCGAACAGCGTGATAATGGGAAAAAGAACGAGTAACAAAGCCCAATAGTTTCTGTCCAACTCGTCTGCTTGGTAAACGCCGCAAGTCGAGTTCGTTGCGTTGTTGCCAGTAGAAAAAGTGCAATTGAAATGTTGTTGCTCGTAGAGGGTCGCGTCCGACGCGTTCGACAAGTTTATCTTGTTGAAATACTGATCGATGTCGTCGAACACGAGCATGTAAGACTCGTATCTAGCGGTGTAGTTTTGCTCCTCGCCTGTCGAATTACGAGCGGAAGAGTTATACCAAAACCTGGGGTCGTCAACATTTCCTCCGCTCATGGTGCCGCTTGTTTTTCCGATATTTTTTCTCCTCCGCGCACTTTTTTTACGTTTTTAAGTTTTCATTTTCTCGTTTTTGCAGATTTCTATGCACACACGAAACCGTTGGGCGATCTACATCGCGTATAAATGAAGCGTTTTGGTAGCTAGATGGTCGCGTAACGCGATCTTTGGAAACTGGAAACGCGTGCGGATGCTACGGGTGTCGGAGACGATTTGGTTAAGGGGCGCCGTCGTCGTCGGACATGCCAGGCGCCGCCCAGTCTGCCAAAACGTCCGACAGAGGCGTCCTCGATCGCTGCTTATTCCCTCGCGTCCGTCCTTCGATGGAGGATGATGCTGGAGGTTAGCAGATTCAAGGTCAACAGGTTTCGACGCGTTTCGACTTTCCGATCGGTTTTCTTTTTCTGCCGCGACGAAGGGATAGTCTGTTCCATTTTGAAGAAACGGGACGTCGAAGCGCCCGTATAAAAAGTCACATTAAACATGCCTGAAAAATTACCTGTGCCTACATGTTCTTTTCGAACCACTAAATATAACAAGCCACGCGCGTACCAGCACTGTTGGTTGCCTAACTACGCGCAGAGAAATCGTAGCCGTTGTTACGTAACTTTTGAGTTGCTACTAACAGAAGTATGCGCCGACTTGGCCAGTGGAGTCTGTCGGATCTGGAAATTACACTATGCAGTGGGAAATAAAACAGTTGATCAGGTTCAGTTAACATTTAATACAATGATATAACATTTCCGAAAAATCGGGCAATAAAATAAACCTGGTGTACTCTCGCGAGCCAGGATTCGCCGATAATATTCACCTAAACCTAGATCATGTTTTAACTGTTGAAATTCAAATTAAATTCCATCTTTACCATCTGAATCTACAGGATCGCTGTGGGAATCTGTGCCGAACCGCCGCTAACCGGGTACCGTACAACACTGGGGATGACAGCGAGTAAAGCAAGATGGCTTCTTGGTCTTCAACAATCTCAGTCGGAGTACTGTCGTAAAGAGAGAGACAAAAAAAACGCCAAAAGATTGAAAGGTTACTATATAGGTAGGATGGGCAGGAATATATTTAAGGTAGAACTCACCTATGTTGTATATATCACTTAAGACACGGAGCCGTTTTCTGACCAAAATTCGGAGCACCAAACTGACAAAATAGAATCAGTAATAAGAACTTCGGCTTGGGTGAGAATCCAATGACAAATCAAATTTTCAATCGGCAAATTGCAAATACCGCGTCAAAGTTTCCACCGTGCTACCTAAATTCACTCTCTCAACCGCAAGTAAATGCTGCCTAACTAAACTTTTTTTATAAGGAAGGAACAAAAAAGAGATAACGCGATAAAACCGGGATTTGAGTTATAGGGTGAAACAAAATTTAATTATTCGCTCCGATGTTTAATCGTAATATGGAGAATTCGTAGCACCGTAGCGAAAGTGCAGAAAACTTTAAAACATTTAACTTATTTAAATTGATCACGAAATGACATTTGTTATCGAATTCAATGTGGACGCATTGTTTAATTATGACAGCTCTTTCAAAAATGTTGCTAATTTTATTGGAGTTTTCTTGGAGATGTCGTAGTCTCTTCACTTATTTGGTATCAAACTCACTGTGGCAATAGCGCTCTAAATAACATATCATCAACACCCATTATTTAGATTGCGTTAAGATCATTAACTTTGATCATAGGTGTTATAGTAAAAAATGATGCATATTTTTTTTTACACTTAAGTAATAGTTGAAACTATTACAAAAACTATACTCGAAGAAAGTTTCAAAAATAAAAATTATATTTTAAAATTATTTAGATAATACTTAATCACGTGTAAAAATTGACTAATTCGTTATTTTAAAACAATTCATTTGTTCATTAAATTTAAATTAAAATTTTTCATTTATCGAAAAAAATACAGAAGTTTACTTATAAATAAAGGAATTAAAAAATGCATTTCCGAATTCGACGTAAAAATTTAAACAACTGCCACTAATTGTGGAATAGATTTTTTTAACCCCCCTTCGTTAAACTCTGATCATTTTATGTATAGAAATGAATTATTCAATTAACACTTTCAAAAATGCCCCAATAATAGCTAAAAACTGTACTTGTGATATTGACAATACTTTATATAAGGGATGCCGAAAAAGTGCATTTTTGAAAAAGGTTTATCAATTCCATTGACTAGGACAACAAATTGTCTACAAAATGATTATTCCTATATCTACCTCTTACTGTTTTTTAAGAAATGAAACATATTTCATATGTGCTTATGTGAATTTTTCTTTGAGAATGTCCATTCAACATGCGCATGCACCAGATTTTAAATTTCGTTTTTAACCAATGACTTTGCGCCAGTCAATACACAACATGGCCGCTGAAAGATCGTCAATGAGTTTGTATGCGGCATTTTCACGGCAGTATTGTCTCAAAATATAGACCTAGATCTGTTTACATGTTCTGGGAAAATGAGTTAAGTGTGTGGAATTAGCTGTTTACAAAGAAAACAGTACAACGTGCAGGTTAGTTAGTGGTTAGTGTACCTTATCTAGGAAAATATCAATACCGAGTACTGTATGGACGCGCAGAAACTTAGAAAAGGTATCATTGTACCTCGGGGTCAATAATGGCCATATACCAAGTTTCTCAACAATGTCTTTTTTGTTTCTCCCTAAGCTTCTAATAGGCGGTCACCCTGTATAAATTACACTGTTATACTGATAAATATTGAGCAAATGGCACTTATTCCAATTTCTCCTTCTCCCACGTTTGTCGCTCACCCGCCCACAAGCCGAGAACGTTAGACCCTTTTAACATAAAAGTGAATTACGTCGAAAAAAGATAATATTTGTCGCCTATCGAACATCTATCAACTTTGGAAACACTATATCTATAATTACCTTAAAAAAATAGTAGATATAACTTATTGATACAAGTTATTCAAGTCAAAACTCACACCTATCTAAATACGCTTGCTTAGCGAAAAAAAAATATTATTTCAGGTTATTGGATTACCGAAAAAAAGGTTTTTTTTAAAACGATGTTGCCTAACCGTCGATATTATGGGTCGCGACTACCATTTTGTCAAGAAATCGATTTTCTCTACTTCCCGTGCACTCTGAAATGTCCAATTATGCACTGATCAGACGTGTGCACAGTTCATTTTAAATCGCCAGCTTCGTTAAACGCTTCTTAAGACACTCGTTCATTAAACACTCTCTTCATGCCTACAAACACCCGTATCTAAAGTGAGATTTACAAAACTTGTTGTCTAATATACCACAAAAAGTCGATGCACCCTATTCATTCCTTATGCGCATTGCGGATAAGTATAACGCGATCTATAAGCTGCCAAGCTATTGCCATACGTTTAGCTTATACCAAAAGCCTAAACGGTATTCCATGTTCGCACCGAAATGTATGCGATAAAGCAAAATTGACTTGTTATATGGCGCCAATTCAAAATAGCTCTACGATGTTCAGGTGTCGGACGTGAGTTGATAAATATTTATACGTTTGAAAACTTAACCAGATATTAAACATTGTCATTTTCGTGATTTTAGTAAATGGGTCGCACCACAAATTCCAGATTCTTCGTGAAAATAGGACTTTTTGTTACCTATGCCCTATCCCCCCGCGCCCCACTTACACCAATGCTTGATAAACCCTTTACTTTGCATTATCTTTTACGTTAATTACTCGGTTAAAAGATAAAAATGACCATTAGTAGATAACACATATTTTATTGTGTCTTTATAATTTCCTATTTATCATGAAAAATATCTTAAAAACTACAATTATTATGAAAAACTTAACACTTACTAACATTAACTTAAACTCTAAACTGATAACTGTTGGTGCAAAATACAACTAAATCATTTTTCCTTTTTTTTCCACACGCAATACTTTACATTTTACTTTTATTAATTTGAAAACTGAAAGTTTTATGACAAAAATTCGGAAAAAAAAGGTTTCAAGTAAATCCGTCTATTGAAATTTATTTTTTCCATGTCATTGCGTAAGTTTTTACTTAAATTTAATTAAGAATGATAGGGGTAGTTTAATTCAGTGTCCGCGACTTGTTTTTAAAAATATGCAGAAAGGATGTTTTTATAATAATAATAGTCTTTGACCCAATGTTTATTTTAACAAAGGAATCACCCCTTATATCCTTAGCATTTGTTTTGAAACACCATGTATACCTACTTTCAAAAAAAAGGAAACAAAACTGTATTATAGAAATCGCGACTCACCCGATATAATACTATGTTTTTATTCTGTTGGAAGTAGTCTACGTTAGTTAAGTATTATTAAATTAATCTCAGTCTAAACCAGGGGTCTCCAAACTACGGCCCGCGGGCCACATCCGGCCCGCGAACAGATTTTGTCCGGCCCGCGGAGAGCTTGTATACTTGAAAGAAAAATCTACTACGGACTTTAGTCCTATTTGCAGCCTTTTTTAAACGTGACGTACTTTTTCGGACTTTTTTTTGCAAGTAAAACTTTACACATTCGTTACTTGAGTACTCTTTAGGAACCGAAGTAACAATTACTAAAGAATAAATTAATCAATGATTACTTGTGTATTTTATTATTTTTGGAATCAATGATTACTATGCCGATACGATATGGGTACCCCATTATAACGGTAACCCATACGATACAGATAATATATCAGACTTCCCCATCGCTAGAGGCATCTGACAAAAAATTAACTTCCTTTTACATCATCAGCGGACTGATTCAACTTTTTATCACCGGCGACAATTAATGATAATATTGTTTTGGCCCTTAGAATTTCTTGGCGTGATCAATATGGCCCTAAGGCTGAAAAGTTTGGAGACCCCTGGTCTAAACCATTCTTGTTGACGTTCTATGTAGCGTCGGAGCAATATTTATTCTCTACTTTTAGCGACCAGTTCAAACTTGACCGTTAATCCACGATAAAGTATTGCCTGCAAACGTGTTCACCTGATCCCCAGTTGGTAGCACCGATAACTGTAGCTCGTGCAAATGGTTTCCTAAAATTGTCGACGAGTGCGCCAATCTAATCCGTATGCCAAGAAAGGAAGCCGAAAATTCCAAAGTCGTATTAATCCTTAAATAGATAAGTCTCCGTGATCCGACGGAAAACTACCGCTGATAAGAAGAACCTGCTCGGCAAAACCCAAGGGGTAATTTTTCCAGATGCACTTTTTCCCTTTTTTAGATAGAAACATTCTAACATTATCGACTACCTATACCTATACAGCTACAACTCCTAGGTTAATGCAACCGTATACAGGGCGCTCTTAATTGAATTAAATTGTTGCGACTCATTTGAAATTAATTTTAAAATTAATAATTGAATTGGAACTCCCAGAGATGAGGAGGAAACTTAGAAAGATAAAAAAACATTTATTTGTGATACCATTTTTTAAAGAAGGTCTGTAGTGAAAATTTTAATTAATTTCTTAATGGCGCAAAATTTCCTTATGAAAGTTCGCAAAAAGGACAACGTTGATGTCGCTGACAATAACATTTGATAAGTCGAATTTTACGATCTGTGAGACATTCTTATATGCGGAAAGATTGTTGGCAAATTTTATGCATTTTTTCAACGAATTAATAAAAATACCTCCTTTAAAAGAAGCTGCACAAAGTTCTTTGGTTTATTATTCCTGAAACAGTTTGGGTTACATAAATGAAATGACAGCATTGTCCCAAACTTTTTTTTGTGGAGATATTTTCTTTCCAAAAATCATATATTTAAAATAATCTTCTAATTTCTAGTCAAAAGGATTACTAGATTTGGAGTTATTTCAAATTTTAGGAAGTAATGCTGATTAACGAACTGTCTTATGGAAAATGAAAAACAACTATGAAACAAAAATATTGTTAAAATAAGTTAATTTGAACTTAAAAAGGTACATACGGCCTAAATTTCATTTAGGTACCTTTCGTCAGCCTTTACAGGAATTTAAAAAAAAAAGGTATTCTTATATACTTCAACCAGAAATATAGTGTTTTTACAACCGACTCCGTGATTAACTTTTATTATTCCAAAACCGCAGCCCCTTATAGAACACTGATTCCAGGACCGTCCTAGGAATTTATCTACCTACACTAACAAGCGGTATATAAGTATGTTCTCAATCTTTTCCGCCAAGCATTTCTTGAAACATGTACATAAAAAATTAGTACATTTCTACATTGTATCATTATCAACCCTGCCACTAGTCGTTCTCAATAAATATTTTCTTCTTTTATTACTCATTTTTCACAGTTAGACCAGCTTTGTACTGGTATTTTAGCTACCTCTTGCCGCATTACGAAATTTTGCTGCAGTGTGCTTCTTATATGCGCTTTCAACTGAGACCAAATCATCTCAATCGGATTAAATATACAATGATACGGGGGTAATCTCAAGATGTCCGTTTTATTGTGCTATCGAATTGATTTTGTAGTCTTTATTAAAATCTTTTATTTTTAATAGCTACAGTAGTTGTTTTTTCGTGTACCTCTCTTCAAAATATAAATCATTTTAGTACAGAAATTCTTTAATTTCTTCTATGTTTGAAGAAGTATTTGGATTTTTTTTTATTTGGACTGACTAACCAGTACTCAAATATTTCCGCGGTCATGTTTAACGTTTTTGGCAGACAAAAATAAGGCATCTTCCACCGAACCATTTGTGAACCCAGCATCAACACACAATCGTTTTTAGGCTAAATACTCTATTAGCCTATTTTGCTCTCAAAATTTTTTAATGCATTTAAATATTCCACCCTCCATTGCGAAATTCTTTGAGATCCCATTACCACTTGACGTTTATTAATTGTTTGGAACTGAAACTCCACTTCCTTCAAAAAAGTTTAGTCTGTCTAGGGTTAAAACACTATTTACTTCATAAGCTTCGTAAATTGTAGGCCTAATTAGATCTGCGGGTGGCTCGTTAGTACCAGCATCTTCTCTCACTTTCCCCTTGACTATCCCAATTGCAACAATTTTTCTTACAGTTGACTTCGGAACTTTGTTCATGTCATTTGTTTTTATTGCTGCTCCTACTTCTCCTTCTGAATTTTTTATAAAATTTTATACATTCAAAACAATCTGTTTAGCATACGAAGACAAACAGATCCGTTTTTTTATTTGCTGAGTTAGTTCGTCTTCTAAATTGTCAATAGGTTCGACTACCATCTTCACTTTATCTTCAAATTCTGCGTTGTTTTCCACGTCTTCTTCTAAAAGGGGAACATCTGCTTCATTCCACGGTCTCCATATTTTAAAGAACAGGAACCTTCAGAAAATGTTCGATTGTAAGATTGTAATAAATATTTGTCTGCTTTCTTATGACGTACCTTTATTTACAGCGAATATAATTCATAGTCTTAAAAAAGACTGTTGTTGTTTACAAATCGAACAGCTATGTAGAAGACACAAAAATACAAGAAGAAGAATATTGTTAGTCGACAGGCACACAAGACAAAAATGATTATTTTCAAACTTACCTGTAAGATAGAGTACAGGTACTTACCATTACCCGTTGAACTATCCAGTGAAAACAGTGTCGCAGGATCACAGCTCGAGAAACTACTATCTACAAACATATTGCAATTTAGATAAGAACGATACATATCAACTGATGTTAAAATAAACGCTCCTACTTATTCGAAAATACCCCGCAGCATCCATACTTAATCAAATTTAAAATGGCGCATTTACGTTTCAAACAGAAATTGAAAGTTTCTACCAATATGCGTTACGGTCCATCTCAGGCAAGATCTACCTAATTAATGCAGAATAAACGTCTGTTGGGAAAGGTTTATCACGGTCCTGCGAATATACGCGGTTAAGGTACTGTGAAATACTTAAAACGTCAAAACAATAAACGCACTATATTTTTGGTCGCATTATAACTTCTTCTACATCGCCACATGTCTGGACACGTTTAATAAGTAACACTATATAATTAGGGGAACTTTTTTTCAAACACGACGTATTGTTATTGGTTCCCGCAACACGCAGCTAAGCAAACATCTCGATTTCGTACCGCTATTTTGTACCTAATATCTTTTTAAACATCAACCATTCTCGAGGTTGTGTAAACGGTTTAGTCGGCGATAATATCTTATTAAACGGCACGTTCGTTTTATTTACGGGGGCGAACATTAACCTTGAATCCTTTCACCCCCCCTCCCCACCGACCGTCATGAACTAAAAAAAAATTAATTGTTCCAAAATTACATTGACCGAGAAAGCGAAGGCCGATCTGCTAAGTCCAATTATCCCGACTACGGAATCATAAGAAGAGCATAAAATATTAACAATATAAAAATCGGCGAGTTAAACATTTGTACTATTGTATATCCGCACGGTCGCCGAAGTTAAAATTTCCGAAATTCGCCCATACTAATTCAATCGTCGATATCCCGAACACCTGCGGACTATTGATTCCGAACGGTTTTACGAGGAAATTGCGTTTTTATTGCATAGTCGCGAATGTTTTGTCTTCCCCGCGACCCAAACACGCGTCGCTTAAAAGCTTTTTAATCGCCGTGACGGAGTATATTGATTGGGTGGGGGATCGGGCTGGTGGGAGAGCTCTTTTTAATCGTAGGGCTACGCTATTCG